AATCAGTGATTTCTAAGATAGTGTTAGTTGTTTTATATGTTGAAGTTGCTATGAAAGTTGCTTTGAAGAAGGAATATTTTGTTTTACATTGAATAACCAGTGTTTAGAACATGAAAAATTTTGAGTTTTGAATGCACTACTTGAAGCTGATTTATATATCTACTAGCAGTAGAGCCCGGCGTTGCCCGGGGATGTAACAGTAAGAGATAGATCAAGTATCGACCATCATAAAGACTGAAAAATAAAATTGACAAAGATTATTGTTTAAGGTTGAAGGACACGAATGTCTTAATTAGTTTTTATTTTTTTGTTTTTTTTTTACGAATTGGTCAAACCCAAACTCAAGCAAAAATATTGTTTTCAATCATTATGAGTTTATCGATTGAATAGAATTTTATTATAAACAATTGTCTTGTAAATGGAATTTTAAAAGCATTCTGAATGTAAAAATAAAGAAAAAAGTGTGCAAGACAATAAGAAACACTACCTGCCAAAAAAAAGTGAAGTTTTGTTGAAATCAGTTGAAAAATGTAGGAAATTTGATCCCATATATAAAGGAACACACACACACACAAACAACCTGGGTTTTATAATAAGTATAACTCGATATGAGTTGTCCCCCTTTCATTCTGGCAACAGAATCATGTTTTCAAATTGATTTCGTGCAAAAACAATTGTGTTTTTCCAATTTTTGGCGCTGTCAGAACCAACGCAAGGTAATTTTACACAGTCCTGTGAAGTTTTGTTGAAATCAGTTGAAAAATGTTGGAAATTCGATCCAATATATAAATGTACAGACACACACACACCATCTGCGTTTTATAATAAGTAAGATGTAATCATTTTCACCCTTTGTGAACAAATTGATAATATATTGAATCACTTGTTTTATGAGACACTCTCACCATAGCTAATAATGAAGGCACAGTTTTAGTTGATCCTTCAATTTCTCATTTTCATCCACAGCCATTTGTAAAAATCTCTGGCTCTTTACACAAAATCTACATTTAATTCCAGATGATGATACAATGCTGAAATGGATCATTTGCAAACTACTCAAGTTCAGGCTTCCATCAATTTCACTTATTCCACATTTTATTCAAATAGGAAACTTTTTTTTCTTGTTAATTGTTCTTAAATGTTTTCAAATGATTCCAAATGAGACTCTGAAATTTACTCCAAGTTCTCTGAGGTTTGGGGATGATTTTCCAACAGATTCCAAATTTTTATCATTGATCAATTTGATCAACTCCTTTTCCAATTTTCTAAACAGAAATCTCTAGCTGCAAATTTAAAAACAAAAGTTTTCAAATCCATTTACTCACAATATGTCACTAACTGAAGAATAAATATTCCTTTCAATTTCAACTACATTAAATCACAATGTATTTGTTATGCAGGGTGCAGCAGATTTACTTTCCACATAAACTAGATGAAGATACTATTACTACTTGCTTAAGTTCACTAGCACCATACAGTTTAAAATGTGGGAGGTATTTCTGCTGCACCCTGTATAAGTAGAAAATAATATGTTGAAAGAATTTTCATATTTGTCTTTAAAAACATAATGGAATTATAGATAGGTAGTAGGATTTTCTTTACTGGAAATTTAAGAATAAAATGAACTGACTTAAGGGTATAAAATAATATATTTTTATTTATTTTCTTTAAAGTGAGTCCTTTGGTATTCAGTGTAGTAAAATGTTCATTTATAAAGCAGATATTAGTAGTAACTCGGAGAAAGTCCAGTAGTAGTAATTTTGAAGTTAGACCATGCTAGGGGTAGTAGTAATATTAGAAATAGGTCAGTTTTTCTCATCCCTAAGCAGGGTAAAATATCATTAGTAGATGACCTCTTAACTACTTTTTTACATGTCATTCATGTCTTGTTTCTCTAGCAACTCTGTCTCTGTTATCCTTGCCATTTCTTCTGCCATCAGAGGTGTGAGTATATATCCTTTCGACCAGGCTCCAAGACTCTGATGTGAACCTTTGTTTCAGCTAACATCAAAAATCTCTTTATGCTAATTTTTTTCCTTGGCCAAAATTATTTTATTTCCTGGTGTTCTTTTTTTTTTTTCATTTTTTTTCTATAATGGAAGTTATGCATGAAGCCTCCCTGATTTGTTAGTTTTTAGTCACAAATTAGTAAGCTCTTGTCTTACAAACTTCCGGCTTTTTTCATCCAGGTTCAGTCTTTTCTTCTCCCTCTTTTTTATTTAAGAGTTGCCTTCTTGAGAGAAGTATAGAGTGAGAGAGAAAGAAAGAAAGGTTTTAAAGAAAAACACAAATGCCTCATTTTAATTTGAATTCTTTTTATTTTTGTTTATATATTTTATTTTTATATTTTATTTCATTTTTATTGGAACTCAAAACAGAGTGAAATGAACAAATAATTATTTATTTAAAATATCAATTAAAAATGTTATTTTTAAAAAAAATTGTAAAAATATCAAACTTAAAACAAATCAGTAATTTACTGTTGAACAATGAATAGATAAGCAAATTCCTAAAATGCACTTCATCTTTCTGCATTCTTTATATCATAATTTTTGTTCCTATTGTGCATAAGGTGCAAAAATATGGACTTATACATTCTCTGTTGGTCATCATTAGTTCATAAGCAATTAGTGATAGTTAATCAATAATAATATTTATGAAGATGAAAATCTTTCATCCTTGTTTTCTTTTAAAAACTCATGAAAGAAACAGTTTGTATTTTGTTTTTGTTTTTTTGCATTATTTTTTTATATTTTGTAATATTTATTTCAATTTGGTAAAATATAGCACAAATGTCTTTTAAACGTTTTTCTCTTGTCTGCAAATGAGCGAAACGAAAAAATAAAGTAGATAACTAACATTTTCCTTTACAATCTGAAATTCTTTCTATGAAACTTAAAAACTATTTATTTCAGTATTAGGTTCAACATAGTAAAACAAATACAAGTTCAATAATTGGGTATGGGAGGTTGTGTGTTTCACCAATAATTCACAAACAGAAGAGAACTTGCCTACCAAGAAAATCTGTTTTTAAATTTTCTGGTTTTTACTTGCGTTTGAACGCTGAAGTCTGATACCGCGTAGGGAGGTACGCAACTATCCTGATCACAGGGTAGGCTAGATATTTACGACAAAACTTAGCGAAGTCTGGCACAAGGACTGTTTATCCAGTGAGGATGGGAAATCACCGCAGTGGTAATTATCTGCGAGTTGAATTTGCTAAGCACTACTACAGTGAAACGCACTTGACTAATCATTCAACTTCAATTTCGTCTGGCTCAGAATCCCCTCTCGGCAACCCTCGAAAAGTTCTGTTCCAACAAATTCGTAAAATTAATTGATTGAATATACAGTATACACTGGATTAATAAATTATTATTATTATTAAATACAGTATTTAAAATACTAGTAAAATAAATAAATAATAATAATAAAAAAAACTATTTCAAAAGTTGATTTTGAAACTCAGCACATTGCTTTAGTTTAGAGTGTTTTTTAGCCGATAAAGGTAGAAAAAAATGTCACCACTGACATTCCATAAACGCGTCGCGGCAGTTTGTAATCTATATTAGAAACCAGGAGGTAAGACAGAATACAAAGCAAGGTGTTTTATGAAAGAGAGTTAGAAGAGTAGCTAGCCGGCCACATTGACATTACAACGGATAAAAAAAGGTAGTTTTCGTTTTGCTGAGAATTTCGAGAAAGTATCATGTACATTTTTGCTCACCTACTCCACTGATGAATCAATTCAGCTGCTAACGGCTAACCACTTGAAAGAAAATAAACTTTTTATTGACGGAACTTGATAATAATCTTTTCAAGAGTGGATTTGCAAAAAAAAAAAAAAAAAGATGATGAAAAGTTATGAGATTCTTCAGAAGCATTGCGGTGATGCTGTGGAAAAAAAGATTTCCTAACTGCAATAAAAACAAAGCAACGGACTTAATTCAACCGATAAATCATTCATTGTTTAACTGAAATCATGAATGACATTCTCACTGACATCATTTTGGCTACAGCTAGAAATAACAGTGATCATCGCTACCGTTTATCTATGTTTTATTATGCTAGTAGTGTATATTTGTGTCGATCACTCTTTTATAGTTGTTGCTGCTTTGATCACATTGATCGATTATTGCAGAACGAAACGCATAGGCTTCTTAGCACTGTTTTGGGTTGTGCATTAAGATCTGAAAAGGCAAAAATCTTGCTCTTCTTGTATAACGTCACTAAAAAGAAGATAAACCAAGCAACCAACCCAGGGCTTCACTATTACTGCTACTACTGTGGTGTTTGAAGTTGCACTACTATCGTCATTTCGTTGTTGTTGGGTAAAGAAGGAAGTGTGCGTGCGGGCGCGCACGCGCGTGTATGTGTGCGTGAATGAGCGCTCCGGTGACGGTAAGGTCTCCGTAGGATGGCACACTGATCATTAATCATGAATCTCTCTTCTCTCTTCTTGTCCAAGTCAACAATATTAACGAATTACCGATTTCAGCTTTTATTCAATTATTTAATTAATAATTAGTTGTTATGGAGAAGGAATTAATGGGGTGAAAAGAAAAACTGTTAAAAAAAAACAGTTGACAAATATTGTTAATTTTTTTTTTGGTCTGTCAACTCAAGTCACTAACAAACGATACACGTGCTTTTTTTCTCGCCTATTTTTTTTCTTTTTGGACGACAATCTTCTGTTCGTATATACACAAGAAGACACACCTTTTGTTTAGTTCAAATTACTCACGTCTCGCTTTAATTGTTTTTCTATCAAAATCCTCTTCTTTCTATTTGTTTCATACCCTTACTTTCGTTCACACACGCACACACGCCCCTTCCTCCCACACACACACTGTAGTGTAAACTTAACTCGTTTTCTGGAGTTTCTTGTTTCTTCTTACCTTCTTCCTAGTTTGTTGAAACTTCGCTTGGGTGAACTGGAGTTGAGCAGGACAATCAACATTTTTCTTCTTTTTTTTTTCTTTTTTTTTTTTTAACTCGTCATGTCCGCCAAACTATTACGGTTTCTGCCTAGATTTTTCCGTGGAAACAAGGACAAAGACAAAATATCCACGACTAATAAATTTTGTAATTATGTTGAAGCTGGGACAAAACCAGGGGATTACATTTGTCGGATCCTACTTTTGGATGACAAGGAGGTTAATCTTGCAGTGAAGGTAAGCGTTTGTTTTTCCGATCGTCCGTCAACAGTAACTATGACTCTTTTCTTTTAAGAAAGGTTTAGTAGTGAAAGTTAACCTTTCCCCCAATCTCTGTACTGAAGAAACAACATTAACAATTGTTTCACCCTGATTCTCCGAACCTACTGAGCTACTTAGTTACACGTAAGTGCAACTTTAACAAATTAACATACACAGATATAGCACATTGATCACTTTTTCTTTTTTCTTAGTTTAGATTACTAAAGTAAAAGTCGTTTATTTCTTTTCCCCCTAAAAGTGAAGGGACTGATTCCATTCATTTGTAGTGGTAACCTCGGTATTGGTGCTTCATCTGTCCAATGCTCTGTCACGGACTATTACAAGAACAAGCACATCAGTAGAATAGAGAAAGTAGTTTTTAGTGAACAGTTTTATGCCGAACGTAGACGTTTAGGTACGCCTTTGTACCAGTTTTCAACGGGCCGACACTTTTTTTAGCCCATTCTAGTCATTGCCTGTGTAAAATAAATTGAAAAAGTAAAAAATTTAAAAAGAAATTAATTACAGAACTCGTTCCGAGTATTGATGACTGTTACTGAAAAATCGAAGAAAAAGACACGAAAATAATAATCAACGTGTTTTTTGGTTTTTGTGATTGAATTGAAAATCGATTTAAAAAGCAGAATGTGTTACTGTTCAAGTAAGTTACTAGCTAGATTGTTTAACTTTTTAATGTGTAATCAGTAATTGTAATGTTTTAGTTTTGAAACTGGTCTAAAAATTTGCGACCTATGAATTGAAAACAAAATACTGACACTACATTACAAATTGTTAATTTCTGTTTCGCTTGAACAAAATTGATAAATAAAGAAAAAATCATTTCTGTGGAGATGACATCCCGAAAGTTTAATAAAGAAAGACTGTCATCACAGTTGATGAACAAAAATATGAGCTAACGAACCTGATCGATATCATTATCAAATCCATCCAGCATTATCAATCGTTATCGTTTAGAATAAAATTTCTGTTGAATTGTAAATGAAATAATTTTTACGCAATCACAGCTTTGAAAGCGTTGCGCAGGTGTGGCATTCTTATTTTAAAAAGCTTTGCAAATTTTTTGTAGGTAGTAAGTAAAAATGGTAACTTTATGTTCGTACCTGCTTGATTATGAGAAGAAAAATAATGCACATTTATTTTAAAGAGAGTGGTAGAGTATAAATGTAGTTTGTAGAAGTAACCTACATCTGCTGTACTCAATAACGAAAGAAGAAAATGTATGTTGCTACTTCAATAGTATGACAAGAGAATCTCAAAATGTTTTACATTTTTTACGGTTTCTTTTAGCTCAAACAGTAACACGCACGTTAAACTAAAAAAACGCATTTATAATTATAAAGGTTGTAAATAATGACAGGTTTACATAGCAATACACTCGGCTCAAATTTTAATCTGCAAAAGATGTTATGATTTATTGTGTAAATGGAATGTAATGCTTCATACTTGAACATCAACGAAATTGTGGAGAACATGGCAAAGTATCTTTACTCATTTAAACAACATTAGTTCGTTTGTTTTTGACCAATACTAACAGTGACAGGTCGTATTTTGTGAATTGATTTGTGCGGGTATTGAATAAAATAATATTGTATATTTTCAAATCTTAATTTTGTTTCAGTTAAAAATAAAACTAAGAGTGGTAAATTAGCAATTTTTTGTTTGTTTTTTTTTAAAGTCTAATAGGAAAAACTAACAAAAATATACTTAATTTGTTTTGAAAATTACTGTCGTTCTACCCAGTCTTTCTCCTAAAAATAGGTAGTTAGAATAAAAAAAAGTTTATAAATTATAAACTTTCTCTTTGATTTACTTATTTGACGTTCATCGAATTTTTTTTCAGGATCGTTTTTTTGTTTTGTTTTTTCGTTTTTGTTTAAACACTGTTAATGTTAAAATCGCTAAAAGTCTTATAATTTATTCTAAAAATCTCTCCTATTGTTTTAAGAATGAAGCGTAAAATATTTTCAAGTTTAATTTAGAAATGTAGAAAATATTATAGGTGTGGTGTGGAACATCGGGCGTTGGAGTTGCTAAAATGTTTTCAATGTAAGGTAGGGGACGTAATGAAGCTTTGTCACAAAGAACGATGCACAGTTTTTTTAAAAAAAAAGTGGGGGCCTGTAACAGATTTGTGGGAGAGGGCAAGCACGTGCTGACATTAGTTTTTCTACCATACAAACGATATTTTTTGTCTTGAAGTCAAATGAATTAAAAACCAAAAAAGGAGTGAAAAATGTTTTGGGACTGAGAGATTGAATTTAGGATTAAGACTGACAGTTTTATGTCAACTCAAATAACATGACGTGTCCCATGATTTTATATTTTTTATTAATCCGAACAGTCTTCTTATTTTTTAATAAAGATTTACTATTTCATCATTTTTTTTATTCAAATGACGGAATGCATGCATCTGCTTATTATTGTATTCTTTGTGATAGCGATGTTCAGGAATCTGGAAATGTTATGAATAAAATTTAAAGTCTATTTGTAACAATAACTTATACTTATAAAGTTATAATGTTGTGAAACTGAAAACAGATCCCCCCCCAAAAAAAACAACACACACACACACACACACCGTAGATCCAGCTGATTCTTCAAAGAATATCTTGTATTTTTTTTTATTCATTTTTTACAATTCTTTGTCTTAGAAGTGCTTAGAAATTTTGCAACATCAAAATGATATTTCACGCACCAAACTCAGATAAGCGATCATGTTTATTTACAGTACTGAAGCGAGAGTCAAAAAAAAAAAAAAGACTCAAGAAGCAAGACTAAATAAAACAAAAGCAAAAAAAGTGATTTTTAGTAGTTTCAAATCTTGGCGCTTGTGTCTGGCTAAGCAATTAAAACGCCTGTCGAATTACCAACTTCATAAGCCAGTCAAATAACAATTTTATTTTTATTCTATGCTGACTGAATACAAACCGTAAAAAAAAGAATTGTGCTTCTTACCTTGAAGGCCAAATTATTGAATCTCATCTTATGTCTTTTTATCTGTACATTTAGTTTCAACTTTAAAATTCTCATGAACGTCTGAAACTAAATCAAATCCTTCATGGACTTTTCTTTAAATACCAAGACGGAAGAAGTGGGAAAGTACTAATCAAAGAACTGATTTTGGATTTTAGCAAATAGCAAGTTTTCCACCTGTATCGCGGCTATAGTCTAGCTAGAACCCAACAATATTTGTCTATTGAAATTGAAATACCATTTCAGATTTTCTTACTTCTGTATTATTGTACTTGTTTTAAGTGTTTTTGTTGTTTACCATATGAAAGTAGTTATGTATGACATTTCTAATTCAGTGTAAAAAAGTTTCACATATTAAAAAAAATTGTCACCTTTATTTACTTTTTGTACTTATTCTCAGATTCCGTTTCGGTTTAACTTCATTTACTACTAAGAGCAATTGTAGCGATATAAGTCCCCATTTGCACCTTGTAGCTTTGTACTTGTTGTCTTTAGTTTGGCAAATAATTATTTTGAAAAGCTGTGCATATGTCTATCTCGGGATTTTGTTACTTACTACCAAACCATCAATTATTTATATGATTCTCTTAGTTAGTAAATGGTCATCCACGCAATTTTTTATCCATTCAATTTAATTTGTCTTTTTCATTACATTTAATTCTGCCCGTTCCAATGTGATTTCTGTTCATTCAAAAAAAAAAAAAACTGTAATCGACGAATATTTTAGTTTTAAAATGCTAATTTTGAAATCTTTTGAGTCAAAAGTTTTGACTTAAAGATTGAACATTTTTAACTGGTAATTTTTAATGAAATTGTTGAAATACAAGCTTGTTTTTCTTTTTATGGAAACTTGGACTTTAAAAATAATTTACAAGATTGACGAAGAATTCACTATGAAAGAACTCATTTTTTCTTAACTACAAAATTTATCTGAATTCTTGTAGTTAAGTTTTAAAAAGTCCACAGTTCAGTATAAAGAAAAATAAATCCTTGATTTTTTTTTAGTTTATTTCCAAAAAATGTTCTCAGCTACTTATATTCTCAAGAAGACCTAGGTATTTATTTTTCAACATTCATTGAGCGAAGATCAGTTATGATCAAATGTTTGAAACCTAAAATAATCATTACGTTTTCCTAAGTCACAAGAAGAGGGAATTCATTCAACATGGTTCTAATTTAAATTTACTAACAAAATACTAGTATTTCGTTAGTTAGTATTTGTTAAGGATTCTGTCTGAAAGTGAAGTAAAAGCTAATTTTGAAAGTTTTTAAATGCTTAGGAATTTATTTTATTGACCAAAATTTATTTGTTATCTAAGTTTAAAGAAATCTGATGATTCCATTTTCGAAAAATGATTTATAATTAAATTTTGAGAATAATTTGGAAATACTTAATTAATTTAAAAAGTATATTAATTTAGTTTTTTAGTCACAATCATTGTCAAAATCACAATCTGTGCAATTTACTTGCAAAATGTTTATTAACATAAAGTTTATCAATATGCATGTGTAAAATTCTCAAAAACAAAAAGTTATCTAAATTTCGTAAAAAATTTTCACAGATTGCATCCATAAAAAACCAATTCAACTTCAAAGAAGCACGGCTTTCCTTTACCTCAAGATTTTTCCTGTAGTTTTAAAAATTAAAGGGATAAGAAATTCACTTTTAAATTGTACAATTATCGCTTAGTTATTTATTGAATAAAATGATAAATGTCATATCAAAGAAACAAAGATGTTTTTACGGGAACGAATTCATAGCAAAATACACTAACAATTCTAGGCTTGTTAAACCAGGTCTTTTTTGTTATAATCAAAACTCAAAAATGCCAACTTTAAAAAGACAAAAAGACAATTCTTATTTTCCTTCTTTTTTTAATAACTTTTAAACTACCATTAGTTTTTTTTGTTTTTTTTTTGTGTTGACAAAAGAACACAAGTTTTTTTATATCTCTTCAGTTTTTCCTGAATTCCACGTCTTG